CATAGGAGATACTTAATAAATGCTTGTTGATTAACTGTACTATGCTCTTATCAAACCACATCCAGAGTACAGTATCTTCAGTTCCAACCATGGATGTTTGAGGAAGAGCAGTGATAAAGGAAGAATACTGATAAGCTAGAGGGCATCCATAACAGAGAAGACACGATGTGAAAATCTTGACACAATTCAACAAGTCAACAGTACTAAGCCCTTAATAAGTGCTAGGCACTGTGCTGAACACTAAGAATACAAACAAAAGCCAACACCAACTGTCCCTGCCTTCAAGGTTCAAAAGAATTGGGAATATTTAACATAGAGAAAAGAAGACTTGTGGGGAAACATGAGTGCTGTCTTCAAGTATTTGAAGAGATTTCAAATGGAAACATTAGACTTGTTCTGCTAAACCTCAAAGGGCAGAACTAGGAATTAGGGTAGAAGCTATAGAGTAGTATATTTAGGTTTGATATAAAGAAAAACTTCATCAGAACTAACCCAAAGTGAAATGTGATACCTCAGGAGGTATTGGGTTTTTCTGTCTTGCAATTTTTAAAGTAAAGGCTACACAATCATGTACTGAGGATGTTGTAGAACGGATTCTTGGTCAGGCATGAGTTGTACAAAAGATAGCAATAAAAATTTATTTTAAAAATTAGACTTTAAAAATTGAATCAGACATACTGCTTTGTATGTGTTCATTTTGCTTCCCCAAGTAGACTGGAAGCTCCTTGAGGAAAAGATCCTACCCTAGACCTGTTTCATATATCTCAAAGTACCTTGCACACTGACCAGGAGTACCCTCAGAATAGACTCAGTAAATATCTATTAGCCAGCAAGCATGCTGGGGACATTAGTTGTTAACTGCATTTACCAATTTTCTGATTTTTAATATTTATATAACACTTTAATACTTTACTACTTTACATATTTTCATTTGATGAAGCATACATATAGTACAGAGACAGTGCCAAGATGGTAAGGAAGAAATACAGAGAGTTCCTCCCTACCCCTAAACTCCTCCAGAACTAAAAAATACACTAGACCAAATTCTAATCAGGAAATCCAAGAAAAAAAGCTACAATTAGTCATTTTTTCCAACCCAGATTGACATAGGGAGACAGAGAGAGAAGTCTGTTGACACTGGGAATAGGATTTGATCACGAATAAGCCAAACAGGGCATTCTTGTGCCCAGAGAATGAATGAGGGTCCAGGCTGTACACACAGCAAGGCAAAGTACCAGACCCTGAATGAGGGACCGACACCCTGTGAAGGCTACAGGAACAAGGACCAACTGGCAGCTTTGTCACTCACTACCCAGTTCTGGGTCATCAATCCAGGGTGTACTAAGGAGGAAGCCTGCACCCATGGGCAGTAGTCTGAATGTGAGGAGTAGTCATGGGTTTTAGCCCGTGGAACTAGCAAGAAGAAAAGTCAGAAACAATCAGTAGCAGTATGACTCAAACCTCAGGAACAGAGTAGGGTCTCATTTCTAGCATCCAACATAATCTAAAGACTGCAGAGAAATAGCTAGGGCAGGAATCCCAGACGAAAGGGAAGCCTACAGTTCTGTCACTCTGAACCAGAAGAGCTTTGTTGTTGTGGTTCAGTCATGTTTCAGTCGTGTCAGACTCTTCATGACCCCATTTGGGATTTTCTTGGCAAAGATACTGGCGTGATTCTCCATTTCCTTCTCCAGCTCATTTTACAGATGAGGAAACTGAGGCCAACCAGCTTAAGTGACTTGCCCAGGGTCACATAGCTAGTAAGTATCTGAGGCCAGTAAGATGAGTCTTCCTGGTGCCAGGCCCAGCCCAGCACTATCCACTTTACCATGTAGCTTTATAGCTGGCTAGTAGTGAGTGAATCTAGTAGCAATGTACTGTTGCTCAGACCCAAATCCAGGTCAGGAACTTGCAAAGCTCAAACAAGGAGGATAACAATCAGACTTTGCCCTGGATCAGACCATTTTGAGAACACCAAAAGCTTTCAGGTCCCTATTCTGAGCTGTCCCCAAGAGACTGGAATAATAAAGCACTCAATATCCTCACAAAAGCAACAACAGGAGATCTTCCATTCAAACATTCACAGAGCTCCTCCACCCAAATGTAAAGTTCAAAGAGAAGAAAAAGGCTGGAAAAAAAATGAGCAAATAAAAATCCCACCAAAAAAAGCTATTATGAGGACAGGGACACTCAAGACACAAACTCAGAGGAAGAAAATTACCCCAAAACATCCACAAACAAAACTTCCAAAACAAATACAGTTTGGGCATAAATTCAACTAGAACTCCTAGATGAGATGAAGCAAGAGGTTTGGTTTTGTTTTTTTAAGAGTTTTTAAATGTTTTCATAAGTTAAATGTGTGGGGGGGGGGAGAAAAGAAACGACAGTTATGGAAGAAAGAATTGGAAAGGGAATTAACAGCTTGGGTATAAGAAATGCGAAACCTTGCCCAAGCAACAAAGTCCCTAAAAATTACAATGGACCAAACAGACAACAAAAAATATTATAACAAAGTCAACAAGAAACATCAAAACAAAGTCAAAAGACTGAAAAAATAGAAGAAATTGTAAAGCATCTTGCAGCAAAAACAACTAACCTGGAAAACAGATCAAGGAGAAAAAATAAAGACGAATTGGACCACCACCTGGAAGCCATGACCAGAACAAGAACCTAGATATCTTATTTCAAGAAATCTTGAAAACTGCCCAGATCTCTTAGAACCAAAGGGCCAAGTATAAAAAGAAAAAATCTATGGGATAACTTCTGAAAACCCGAAATTAAAACTCTCAGGAACAATACAGCCAAAATTCAGAGTTTCCACAGCAAAGCAAAAATACTGAAAGTAGGCACAAAGAACTCAAGCACCAAGGAGCCACAGTCAGAATCAAATACAATTTAGCAGCTACCACTATAAAGGAGGGGAGGCCTGAGAATATGATATTCAGAAAGCAAAGTATGATATAGGCTTACACCAAGAAAAATATACCCAGAAAAACTGATTATAATCATATGGGGGGGGGGATGAACCTTTAATGAAACAGAAGGCTTTCAAATATTTTTCATGAGAAGACCAGAGTTGTATAAAAACTTTAAAGTTCAAACACAAGAATTAAGAGAAACATAAAAACGTAAATACGAACGAACAGTCACAAGTGAATAAATAAAAATAAACTGCTTACATTCTATTATAGGGAGATGATTTATATGTCCCCTCTGAACTCTATCATCATCAGTGGTGTCTTAATAGAGGGAGTCTTAATTAGACAGAAGGCCTGGGAGTGGTTCTGTTATGTCTTGATGTTTTTGTTGGGTTTTTTTTTTGGGAGGGGGGTGGAGCGGTGCTCAATAAGGCAATTAGAGTTGAGTGACTTGCCCAGCATTACACAGCTAGTAAGTGTCTCAGGCCACATTAGAACTCAACTCCTCCTGATTCCATGGCAGGTGCCCTATCCATTTCACCGGTACATTTCGATCTTAAAGGAATGGTAAGAGGGAAGAAGAGGGATATGGATAGAAAGGGGGAGGGGTCAGGAAGGTTTAGGAAAATTATCTCACATAATCTGATACAGCAAGTACAAGTCTATACAAACAAAAGGAAGGGGTGGAAAGAGGGGCTGACACTTGAAACTCACTGTCATTTGAATTGATCAAAGGGGTAAGAATAAACACAGTTGGGTACAGAAAAACATTTTACTCAACATGGAAATAGAAGGGAAAGGGAAGAAAGGAAAAAGAGAAATTAGAGGGACGGTAAATTAAGGAAAGGATTAGTTGTAAACAAAACAGACTAAATAAGAGATGCACAAAAATAGTTACAGCTTTTTTTGAGATGATAAAGAATTGGAAACTGACTAAATAAGTTATGATATGGAAATGTGACAGACGACTGTGGTGCTATAAGAAATGATGAGCAAGCAGACTTCAGAAAAACCTGGAAAGACTTGTATGGACCAATGCCGAGTGAAGTGAGCAGAACCAGAAGAAAGTTGTACACAGTAACAGCCACATTGTGCCATGACTAACTTTGATAGACTTAGTTCTTCTCAGCAATGCAAGGACCTAAGACATCTCAAAAGGCCTCATGATAGAAAATGCTATCCCCCTCCAGAGAAAGAACTATGGAGTCTGAATGAAGATCGAAGCATACGATTTACTCTTTTTCTTCTGTTTTGTTTTGAGGGAGGGAGAGAAAATTTAAAACTCAAAAGCTTATGGAAGTGTATGTTGAAAACTAAAAATTAATTAATTAATTAATTAATTAATTAAAAAAAGAAAAGATGGAGTGCATGGTTTCAGAGAAACCTAATAAGACTTTTATGAACTGATGCTGAGTGAACAGAACCAAGAGAATAACGTATACAATGACAATATTGTAAAGACAAACAACTTCGAAAGACTTAGGAACTCAGGGTAATGAACAACCAGGATTACAGAGATCTAATAATGAAATGTGCTACCCACCTCCTGATAGGTGAAAGACTCAAAGATACAGAACGAGGAGTGTGTATTTTCTTTTGTTCAGGACCAATGGGAAATTTGATTTGCTTGACTATACATATTTATAACAAGGGTCTGCTGTTCTTTCGTTTTCATGGAGTGGGGAATGAGGTGGGAGGGACAGAAGATAAGTTTTGGCTGACTGAAAAAAAAATTAAATTAGATTAAAAAAAAAAAGGATGGTACACAAACCGAAAGGCACCTGCATTTCAAACTTCTTGACAGACTTCAGAATTGAATAAACATCCCGACTGTTCGCAGAAGAGAAACTAGATCAGTAACAATATTATTACCCTGTCTTCAAGGTAGCCAAAGAACATAAATACTTTCAGATGAAAGGAACGAAGGGATGAGGTAGAAGGAGGACCCCAGGAAATGAAGCTGGGGGGAGGGAGAACTTTTTCATAAAATACCGTTTATTTCTATTGGTTTAGACAGAAAAACAAAGTGTCACTTCTTTCTTGGGGCGTACCAAACGCCGGGCGCCCAAGCCCGGAGAACAAAAGGGGAAGCGGCGAGACGGAGGCAAAACTCGGAGTACCCGGCCCCGGCGCGGGGCTGCCGCTGACGAGTCTGCGAGCCAGCCCGGGCTCGCGGGAGATCCGAGAGGGAGGCGTGGCGGGGCCGGGGATGGGATGACAGGCCTCCAGATGACAGCCTCTCCCGCCAGCCCGCGCCGCCGCCGCCGCCGAGCCAAGAGCCGGGCTCCCGGGCTCCCCGGCGACCGGGCGGAGACGGAGCCTCCCCCCGCCGGGTGACAGCTCGCGCAGAGCCGGCGGAAGCTCGCGGGGGCTCGCGGGGGCGCAGGCGGCCCGGGCTTCCCCTCTGGGGAGCCCCGCTCGGGCCGGTCCCGGGCCATCCCCGCCATTCTCTCTCTCACACTCCCGCGTCTCCACGACCGCTGCCCCGCAAACTCCCCTTCTCTCGGTGGAACAACCGTCCCACCCCCTTTTGAATGTTTCTCACCCGGTAAGGGCCACCGACCCCCGGATCGCGCAGACCTCGCCTTCCTCTCCATGTCCTCCGGTGCAGCTGGGGCGGCGGCGGCGGCAGCAGCACCACGGAAAGCGCAGAAGAACCAGCGGGGCCAGGGCCGGGGCCGGGGGAGGGGGGCTGGGAGAGGGGAGCTAGAGGAAGGAAGGACTGGAAGAGCGGGCCCGTGCGTCTGCGCAGCAGCCCGAGGCCGCTCCCGGACCGGAAATAGAACACTTCCCTTCCTGCCCCCTCCAGTCCTCCCTCTCCGGTCCCAAACCTTCCCCTCGCAAGCCCGCCCAGACTGGGCGTTTCCGCGTCTTTCTCGGATGCCGGGCGCCCGCCTCCTGAGCTGAAAGGGCTGCTTGCTTTCGTCTCCGCTGTGGGTAAATGTGTATGCTTCTCAGAAAAAAGAAAAGAGTATCAGGAGCCGGGGTGAAAGGTTTGGGGGGAGGGGGGAAAGAAGTCCGCCACGGGGTGGGGGTGGGGGGAACTTCGGGACCCCCCTAGCAGCCCCGGGGACAGCCTCGCCCGAACCTGTGCGAGCGCAGAGGCGACGGCCAGAGATTGCTCCGGGAAGGCAAGGGTGGGATATGTGGTGTGTACACACCCCCACACGCCCCTTCCGATTGTCATGTGTAGACAGCCGGCCAAACTTGTGAAAGGAGATTTTGTTTTAGAACAGTCAACTAAGTTATCTCCATCTATAGTTAACTATAACTCATCACCCATGCTCGTCTTCTTGAAACTCGTTATGTTTCCAGTATTTCTGTTCAGGAAAGGAAAGTCCTGAGTTCACCCGGTTGAGCTGATTCCAGAGTTTCCTCATCTGGAATACGCCCGCCCAGTTAGACCATGGGAATGTCATGAAACTTCTCCTTGGGCTTGGTCTTCGATATCTAGATAAGAGACACTATCAAAGTTCTTCAGAAAGAATGTATTCGTCCCAATCTATGGCCTTGTCGATTTGACTTTCGAGCTGATCAGGCTCTTGGGTCCAGACTTCTTCTACACATGTATTTACATAGCCAAGAAAACAGGACTCGGAAACTCACAAAAATAGCATTCACCCTTGAGCAAACTTTCCCCGGGGCCCCTGCAGACGCGGCAAGAGACGGGGGATTTAAGCTTCCTTGCTGGCTCTTGTTCCTTCCTGCACATCGTTACTCTCAAGCAGTAATCAATCAGCACTGATTTAAGGGCTGACTGACACTGTGCTAAGCGCTGAGAATACAAAGAAAAGACAGTCTCTGCTTTAACTACTTCATAGATGAAGTGTTTTCTTTAGCTCGCAGACTAAGCTGTTCTAATAGTAAGAATTCTTGAAGCCTACCCTGCAGCTGGTGGAAACACTAGACCCACCCTGTGTTAGCCTGAGATACTTGTTCTAGTTCCAAGTGGGGATTGTTTCATTCTTTATAATTTTATCACCAGTACCTAGCACAGGGCCTGACACGCAGCTTATGAAATGCTTGTTGATTAATTGATTATATCCAGGTTTAATGGAGTGACAAGGGACTTTGTGTTCCACTTCCTGCTAAGCTCTGAATTCACAGAACCTTGCCTGATGACCAGGAATGCATAGGTTCTGTCATCTTCCATTCCAGGCAGAGACCAAGGACCAGTTTGGGTCAAAGAGGATCTCACAGCCTGAGGCCTCTTCTCCCCACATACCAGGTTCCCCTCTCCATGGGTCTTTAAGGCAGCCCTCTGCAGCCACCTAAGCATGGTCATTCAGGTTACCTGGGCTTGTTTCCCATAATCACTACTTTTAATACTAATACTAATAATAATAATAACTGACACTAATATAACACTTTAAGGTTTACAAGGCACTTTACATATATCATTTGATGCTCACAACCAACCAGGGAGGTAAGTGGTAATGTTATTATCCCCATTTTATGATTTCTATTTATGAATACATTTTCATAGTAGTACTTTAGGCTCTGGAAAATGCTTTACATATATTATTGTATTCAAAACCTATAAGATGATGCTACAGGCATTATCATCCCCATTTAACATATGAGGAAACTGAGGGTAAGCAAGGTTAAGGGATTTTCCCAGGATCACAAAAGCAAGTTATCTGAGGTAAAGTCTGAACCTAGTTCTTCCTCACTTCAAGTCCCAGTACACTATTTACCACACCATTTTGCCTTCAGGATAGCCAACACAGAGCAGGAGGAATGGAAAGGAGTATACCCACCCATTAGTGCAGATCACAACACATCTATGTCTTCTCAATCTGTGATTTTTGTCCATGTCCTCTCATAAATTCTTCAATAAAACCTACCCAAAGCACTAGAGGCCTTCCAGGTATTTAACAGTAGAATCCAGGCTATTATTTATTCTCCTATTCCTATGTGAGTGACCCATTTTCCTTTTACAAACATACATTTCCTAAATGATACTTTTTAATACCATTTTTGTATGCAGTTCATTGTGGGTAACCCTTAACATGAGTCTGTCTTGCACTTTGGATTACCCACAATTTTTGTTCTTAAGAGATTGTGATTTTCCTTGAGCCATAACAATATAGCCTAACTGGACAATATCAAGGTCTAAAAATATATATATTTTAGCAGCTGGGGCTCAAAGAAAGTACTACCCAGTTTCCCAAATACAATCAAGCCCATTCATTTTCTCCCATTCAATCTTAAAATTGGTCCATTGCCCATTTAAAGTATCTGTGGAAAATATAGGTACTATGTTGATGGAATAATTCAATGGATTGACAGTTTAAATACATGGTATAATAGCAATAGTAAGCATTCTTCATATGAATTGTTAAACCCATCTCTTTTTCATAGTTATGAAAGTCGTTGAAGAATTCCTATTCTGGGACTTGATGAAATCATAGTTTTGTTGTTGTTGTTTTAGTCTAATTGATTTGGAATCAGTATAGTATAGTGGAATAAGCACTGGATTTGGAATCAGAGGGCCTGAGTTTGAATTTCACTCTGATGCTAGCCATGTGACCATGAATAAGCCAACTTCTCTAAGTTTCAGTTTCCTTATCTGTAAGGGTATGTTACAAATTAATACCCCCAGCCTCACAAGATTATGAAGCACATGACAGTTCTTAAAGTACTAGATCATTGTGTCAGTTGTTTTTACTTAACTATTGTTTTTTCTTTGTTACAAAGGAAGCAAGGTAGGTGTGGTGGATGAGGAGAGATATATATTCAGACATGACTGATGTAAAAATAAGATATCAGCAAAACTTCAAAAATCTTAAAACATTGTATAAATGACAGCTACTGCTATTATTATTGTTACTACTACTACTACTACTACTACTACTACTACTACTACTACTATTACTTTGTGATCTTTAGAAAATCACTTAACTTCTCTGGCCATCAGTTTTTCAATCTATAAAAAGAGCAAGTTGTATTAGAGGATCTCTGAGGCCCCTTCTAACTGATATTCTATGAATTTAAATCATGTCTTTTAGACATAATGAACTGGATCATACATTTCTTTCATTTTAAGTGAGAAAATATGCAGAAATAAACAGGAACAATCAGCTGTAAAAAGTGCCACTTGAGAAATACTGTGAAAATAAAACATCCATTTTTCAAGATACCTATTTGTGATTTTAATACAATCCAAGAAAATTCAGAAAAAATAAATTGGAATTCGAATCTGTATCATCTTAAAATGTGATAGTTTTGCATTAAATGTTAAGGTGTAACAATATGAGTGGGATTTCATAATGGAAAAACATCCATATTCTAGATTTCTTATAAATTTCCTTTTTAAGAGTTTCATTATATATTATGGTATCTAATGCTGTCTTGAATTACTAAAGGGGTATCTTGGTGGCCAAATTAATTGCAAATACAGAGATGGGAAAATTAATAGGAGGAAACAAGTAGCATTGATTGAGTTCTGAAAGTTTACCATATTAAGGATAAGAAATGTACTTGCAAGAAACTTGAGCTTAAGAAGTTAATCAAATGTTTTCAGCCAAACTTAGATGTTTCTTAAAGATTTATATAAGCCAGAGGAACCAATCAAAGTACTATGAATAAATTCCAGTGAGTGGTCTTGTTCGGCTTTTACTGAAAACTGTAGCTTTTAAATTTTAGAATTTTTGCCTCGTTATTCTCCTTACAGCTTATCTGTTGGTTATTATTATTTTATATTCTCTATACTTGTGAAATTTAAAAGAAAAAAGGGATTTTGAAGTTAGTGATTTTAATTTTTTTCCAATCTCTTGAGCAAACAATTCATTTAAAAAGATCTATTTCCTCATTTATAAAACATAGAATCTTCACCTGAAAGGGTTTTTGAGATATTCTGGCAAAAGCAAATGCATTAAAAAAGGAAAAGTGGATAATTACATTAATAATATAGTTGAGAAAATAAAGTTCTATCTTTTACAGATTCCACATCTCACATTTTATAACACTGTTTCCCTGTAAACAATTTGAAGATAGAAATTGATAAACTCAATTTTGAGTTGGGGAAATAGACTAAACTTCTTACCATTATTATGATAAATAGAATAATTGTTTTATTGTTGTATACTATTAATGTCAAAATTCTTAGGTTTCTTTAAATTTTATTTGTAGGCAAGACATTATTTTAGTAATTAGTATTTTTATTTTAATTATTTTAATCATTTAAAGCTATATTGGCTGGCTAAAATTTATAATTCACTTCATGTTGTCAATTAACAGATTCCTTTGAGTAGTACTAAATGAAATCTGCAGGAAGTCTTTTCTGAATGGAAGTGAATTTGTTTGAAGCATAACATGAATGTAAGTAAGTTTACATGTGCTTTGGGGGATATTTTTCAACTTCTTAATCAGACTGACAGTCAAAACAAACATATGAAATAGAATGCCTTTCTAGATTAATTGAGCAAAGCTGGAATTTAAACAATACCAGATAACTGCTGGCCTTTTGTTCTCAAATTGTTCACCCTTATCTTTAAAATCTTGACTATGAATGTTACAGACATTTAGAAAGTTTTTTTTCTAATATCTAAATGATAACACTCCTTTGAATTCACACCTTGTTTAATCAGGAGTAATAATGGAGAAAAAAGCTGTTCACTATCATTCAAAGATAATTCCTTCCTCTTTGTTAAGAAATACTAAGCACTTCCTCAGTCTTCAATTCTATAGTTCACTCTTCACATTTATTTTTATATAATAGTATTAGCTATTGTTTCATACTGATTAATGGAATAATAAAAGTAGATAGGCAGGATAACTGCTGTTGCCCAATACATAATTACATTCCTTATTGGAAGTATAATAGTTCTGTTTTAGTCCCAGATTACTAATTCTGTTTTTGTTTTTTTTTAATGACAGATCTTTTTTTCATGGAGTTTCACGTTGAAGTGCTTATACATAATTCCTATTACTTAGAGGAGAATAATTAAATAGCAAGGTACTTGACCACAAGCAGGGGACATGGATTCTAGTTCAACCTTAGTCATAGATTTTATTGGTTACTGTGACCAAGTCACTTCCTTTTTTTTTTGTCTACTCCTCTTTTCCTAGAAATTTATATTGATGTCATAAAATTATTGATAGCAACTGCTGAAAGTAAGAAAACTAGGTAATACAGTTTTTTTTTAAGATATCACCACAAAAAACTATTCTTGTTTCAGATATTCTGAACAAACTTTTTTGCTTTTGCTTCACTCACTTGAATCCCAACTGGCTATATCTAGAGTAGAATACAACAGTTCTTTTACCAACCATAGCAGTATTTCTTTTCCAGGGCAGAAAATTAGAGAATATAAGTCCAAAGTTAATTCAACAAACACTTGTTAAGCGCTTACCATGTGCTAAGTACAGGGGAAAGAAATAAGGATATTGATATAGGAGATCAACTAATCAAATCAACAAGCATCAATTAAGTGCTAAGTACTAGTTATAGTAGTATATATATTATTTAGTATACTAAGTAACTAGGGTTACAAAGAAAGGCAAAAAACAGTACTTGCTTTCAAGTAGCTAGCTCATAGTCTACTCCTTCTTCCAAAGCAGGTCATCCCTTTCTCTGCAACTACATTGGTAACATAGTTACCTAAAACACTAAAAGGTTAAATAACTGTTTATTTGAGTTTGAGAGAGAGAGAGAGAGAGAGAGACACACACACACACACACACACACACACACACACCCCGTGTGTGTGTGTGTGTGTGTGTGTGTGTGTGTGTGTGTGTGTGTGTGTGTGTGTGTGTGTAAAAGCCATCATGTATGTACATGTACATCATGTATTTGGGAGAGGCAGAATTTGAACTCAGAGCTTCCTGACTCCAGGCCAGCTCACTATCTTCTAGGCCAGGCTGCCTCTCAGGCACTAGGAATACAAAGACAAAAACAAGAGTCTCAGCCCTCAATGAGTTTACAGTTTCACAGGTTAAATAAAGAACCTGATTTCAATTTTTTTCCGCTAAAAATATGCTCCTATACTTTTACAATTTTTGTTTATTCTTCTCAAAATTGTTATATTAGGTAGGTATTTAGAAGGAATTGGGGAGAAAAAAGATTAATTGCTAGCTAGTATTAAGACCAATAGGCAAATGATTCTTTGAACCTTGAGGGACCATCCTAATCAGTCCTTGAAGAAATTAAGCTTGGAGGGCAGCTAGAGGGCAAAGTGGATAGAGCACCTAGGGCCTGGAGTTAGGAGGACCTGAGTTCAAATCCAGAAGACCAGACACTGGACACTTACTAACTGTGTGACCCTGGGCAAGTCACTTTACCCTAATTGCCTCACCTCCCCCCCAAAGAAAGAAAAAAATTAAGCCTGCTAGAACTATTTGTGTCTTACTTCATGTTGATTTTAATTGTGTTGTCTCTACATTCACTTATACATCTTGATGTGCTTGAGAGAAGTGGGAATGGTAAGCAGATGAAATCCTAAGAAAGAAGTTCTAGTGAGAAGGAATTGGTTTGATATTTACAGGGTTGGTGATATTGATTCATCTGGTTCCTCCCCATGTAATTATATTCTCTAGGAGATTTTGTGCACCTCAAAAATGCATGAATTCAATTCACCATGTGTTTATTAAATGCTTACTGTATTCCCAACACTGTTATGCAATAGTGATGTAAAGAAAAAAGTATAGTCTGTGTTCCTTGAGAAATCTTTCACAGCAGTAAGATACCTATTACCCAATAGTAATGGTCCCCTAATTCAGCCTTGCAAATAAATTTCAATAAGCTGTCAGTATCTACTGTTTTATGAGCTTGTGTTTGTCCCTCCCCCAGACATAGAGGGCTTCTAAAATTGGCCTTTACTTTCTTCATCTCATAGTATAAAGCATTACTTACCCAGTTAAAGCAGGAAAATATGTATTAATTCAAATCTTACAAGAACCAAATCTGAAGGAATAGCCAGATTTTTTAACTGTAAAAAATAAATTATGCATTAATAGATATGCTAAATAACAAATAGCTATCAGGTATTTTGACCATCCATTTCCTGATCCTTAGCCAACTTTACATGTATCCCCCAAATCCACAATGATTTGGGAGGTGGGAATTTTGTCTCAGACTAATAACATAATGTAACATAATATAATACTTCCTAAAATATTCACTTGATCCCAGGAAAGAATTTTTTTCATGGGGAAAAAAGTTTTCAGGTTAAAAACACATTTTTGAACACACACACACACACACACACACACACACACACACACACACACACACACGCACATATATATATATGTATTTTTTTGTTTGTTTCTAGTGGTTCCTGATAACACAGGAGTTGAGCTTCCAAAAATTCATGAAGCAGTCAGCATATATGGAAGAACTTAAATATGACTTCAATGAAAAGGCTGAATTAAGACACACAGAAACACATGAGCCCTTTGTCTTTAATTATTACAAAAATACTCTTGAGAGAAATAGCAAGCGCTACCAGGCCCTTGGCCATTTGCTTGAATGTTACATTTATGAGCTCTTGGAGAAAGTATGCAAACTACACAAAGTATATATCCCAATCCAGGCTGTCATGGAACCAAGGAGCTTCTTTTTCATGAGTGAGAATGCCTTAACTAATCCTTCCCTTCTTCTTGTTCTCCTTCAAGACCATGGAGTTTTTCGGGCTGGGCAGTGGAGTCAACAGACCATAGTTCGTCATGGCCTGCAACATGGAAGTCAAATACCTTGTATTCAACTAGCATTGCAATCAGATTATGGTATCATTGTTTTAAATCCCAATGATAATTTCATGGATTTAAAGCTAGAAAAAGAGTGTCAGAGTCCTCTAGGATACACTGTTGAGTCATCTTCCACAGAAATGTTTCAGCCTGGGAACCCATTTTCTTTGTCTAAGGTTGCCCAATGCATTCCTAAAAAATACAGTAGTACACCTGAGGAACATACTGCCTACATCTGGAATCATTTCATTTTGAAAAGTGCAGCCAAGAACGTAGCTTTCATTGTCCATGGTTATGGAGGTTTGGTTTTCATGGACCTACTTGTTCAGAAAAAGTGGGAAGTAATGAACAAAGTATATGCTGTAGCCCTTATTGATTCTGCACACCATGTAGAGCACCAGCTGGGAAATGACACACAGCTATTAGCATGGATAAAGCACCACTGTCGAGAATGGATAACAAGCCACAAGCCATTGGATAAACCTGTAGCCACTGTTTTAAAAATGGATTGTCCAAAGGTTTCTGCTGGTACAGAAAATCATAGCTTAGCACCTTCTACAAGCCTACAATCAATTTTCAAATACCTCAAAAATGCTTTAAAAGCCAAAACAACTGTTCATTTTTCTCGAATGCCAATTGTAACTAGAAGCTGCACAAAAAGAAAGCAAAGCACTTAGGAAAAAAGGGAGATGCTGTGTCTGCTCCTTAGAAAGCTGCGGTAAGAATGTTAGAATCAAAGAGCAGCTTCTACCTCTTCCCAACTTTTGTATGCTGAATCAGAATGCTTCTGATAACTGTCTGATTTTGCTTTTTGTTTTTTCTTAAGGAAATGTGAATTTTTTTCATTTTTCAGACTTTTGTGGGATAAAGAAAGTAAACTTCCAGTCTGCCATTTTTTGTACTTTACAATCTTACTTTAGAACCTATTGTTAGAATTGTTTTATTTTTTAAAAGCCACTTCCTTGAGAGTTTAAAGGTAGTCATTACAAATACTGCCACTTAATTCAAATTTAGAGCAAGTTATATTCTTTGATTTATAAATGGTTTTGGTGACTCTGTAAAACTGATTAAAATTAAACATAAAGCAGCACCCATGTTTTCTCTTATTTATGCACTCCTTTGTTTAACAAAGCAGGATTGGTTTTGATTTTATGGCACACAGTATAATGGTACGTTAAGTAAAGTTTCTCTGTGCCAGAAAACCTGATAGGTAGAGAATGCACCATAATCTTCTCTACTAAGGAATGGGGAAACCTCTTCTAGGATCTGCATTTGCATAATAATGACTAAAGCACTTTATATACATGACCTTATTTGGGCCTCACAAAAACCATTAGGTATTATCACCATTATGCATATATTATCATCATTTTGCAGAAGATGAAACTGAGGCTTAGAGAAGTTAAGTGACTTGCTTATAGTCATACAAGTAGATGATACCTTATAGTAGATTAAAATGAAACTTCTACCCTAGTTGACAAGAAAAATGGATCCAAAGACCTTTCTTATTCTCCCCACTTTTCTTACCCTAACCACCCTGCCCCATGAAAATGGGATAGAACAGTGTCTTCCTGAGGAGTCACTCAACTGAGTCCACTATTAATACTGAAATAAAAAGCTGCTTGAGCCACTTAAAGGATGACACATTTTGAGGTGAAAGGGATCTTTTTCTATTTTGTTGAGTCCTAATTTAACACCAAATAAAATGGATATTTCCATATGCATAGTGGGATAGAAAAAGAATTGTAAATGAAATCCAGATCTGTTATATGCAGCTTGCATTTCCTTTTGAGCATATAAATTCAACTTGTAACTTTCAAAGTTATCTTGCTTATCTTCTTTATGGCCTTCCTTTGCATTTTTTAAAAAGATGCTTCATGACTTTTTTATATTTTTTGCTACCCTACTGCCCTTGTCATCCTATCTCCCCCAATGAAAAAGAAAAACAAAGACCTTTTAACAAATATGCACAGCCAAACAAAATAAATTCTCACATTGTGTCCAAAAATGTCTTATTCTGCATCTTGAATCCATCTCCTCTCTTTTTCAAGAGGTGAATGACAGCTTCTCATTAGTCCTCTAAAACTGTCGAATTAGTCAGAGTGGAGGAACAGAGGGGAAGAAACAGTACATGTGTCTAAGCTTGCATACCTTGATTGACAGCCCTCCTCCCAGAATCTTGGAGACCCAAGCTACAGGAATCAGTCTCACAGTACCAACGGGCAATGCTCTAAACTGCTGGTGCCGGCCAGAGAACTAAGAAAAAGGAGTAGAATAGGACACCATGTGTAGAGGACCTGTGTGGCACCTGAGGCAAAGAGCACAGCATCCCAATAAGGACAGTTCTGTCCCTCCAAAAGTTACTTGGGGCAGAGATCTAGGCTGGTAAACCATAACAACATATAATCATGTCAAATATTAAAAGAAGATGTCTTGAACACCTAAATATTTCAGTGGATCTGCAATCCCATTTTGGGGTATTCCTTTTGTTGTGACATATTCTGACCCATTCATGGGAGGAAGCTAGGAAATTTTGAGATCCAGCCCCCAGGGAAGCCACCATCAAAGAAGATAGTCAATAGATTGAAATTACCAAAAGATCTCAGGAAGTAAACTCAAAGACCTTGAACATAATCAAATAAACAAGCAGGTAAACCATTAATAGCAGAAGGAAATATGGCTTCCAGGTCAAGAAAACTAGTTCAGGCATCTATGAATAAATATTGCAAAACAAAGGAAAATGACCCAATATTTGAGGATACAGAGGACCCAACAGAATTTTGAGGAGAACATGGAACCACAACATACTGTTCTGAGAGGTTGCAAGTAGTATAGAATTTATTATGCTACCTCCCCCAATGAAAAAGAAAAACAAAGACCTTTTAACAAATATGCACAGCCAAACAAAATAAATTCTCACATTGACTGTGTCCAAAAATGTCTTATTCTGCATCTTGAATCCATCTCCTCTCTTTTTCAAGAGGTGAATGACAGCTTCATCATTAGTCCTCTGAAATTGTCAAATTAATCAGAGTGGAGGAACAGAGGGGAAGAAACAGTACATGTGTCTAAGCTTGCATACCTTGATTGACAGCCGTCCTCCCAGATGTTAAAAAAAAAAGCAGGGGTAGCAATCATGATCTCAGGCAAAGTTAAAGCTAAAATAGATAAACAGTAGATAAAAGAGATAAATAGGAAAACTATATTACGATAAAAGGTACCATAGATAATGAAGTAATATCAATATGAAATCTATATGGATCAAATGCATAGCATCTACATTTTTAAAGGAAGATCTAAATTACAGAAGAAAATAGATAGCAAAACTGTGATAGTGGGGGACTTGAATCTTCCCGTCTCAGATAAATCTGAACAAAAAATAAATTAGAAGTCAAGGCAATAAATACAATTTGAGATAAGATAGATTTCTGGAACGAATTGAATGGCAATAGAAAGGAATATACATTTTTCTCAGTGATATATGGTATCTTTACAATAACAGGCCATATATTAGGGCATAAAAACTTTATAGTTAAATGCAGAAAAGTGGAAATATAAGTGCCTCCTTTTCAGATCATAATGTAATGAAATTATATTTAATAAGGAGTTATGGAAACACAAATTAAAAATTAATTGGAAACTAAACAACTAATCTTAAAGAATAAGTGGATTCATGAACAAATCATAGAAACAATAATTTCATTAAAGAGAATGACAATCATAAGACAACATACAAAAACCTATGGGATGCAGCAACAACAGTAATCAAAGGAAAACTTATATTTCTTTTTTGTTTGTTTGAGGTTTTTTAGGCAATTTGAGGCTAAGTGACTTGCCCAGGATCACACAGCTAGTCTCAAGTGTTGGGTTTGAGGTCAGATTTGAACTCAGGTCCTCCTGACTTCAGGGCCAATGCTCTAGCCACTGCGCCACCTAGCTGCTCCCAATAACTTATATTTCTAACTACTTATATCAATAAAATAGAGAAAGAGCTAACAGATGAACTGGGGGTGCAATTTAAAAACTAGAAAAAGAACAAGTTGAATGTCCCCAATTAAACACCAAATTGGAAATCCTAAAAATTAAAAGTGAGATTAATCAAATTGAATGTAAGAAAACCATTGAATTAATAAACAAAACTAGAAGTTGGTTTTATGGGGAAAAAAACAATAAAATAGATAAACTATTGTTGTCATTTTGTTTTTTTATTTATTTTATTAATTTATTTTGATTTATCAACACTCACTTCCATATGCTTTTGAGTTTACAATTTTTCTCCCCCTTCCTCCCCACCACCCTCCCCAAGATGACACACAATCTGATATAGGCTATACATTTACATTCCTATTAAACATATCTTCACATTAGTGAAGTTGTAAGTAAAAATTAAAACCAATAGGAGGAACCATCAGAAAGACGAAACAAAACTCAACAGAAGAGAAAAAAAAAGATAGCAATTCAACTTCCATAGTTCTTTCTTCAGATGTGGATAGCATTTTCCATCACTACACCTCTGAAGATGTCTTAGATGCTTGCATTGCTGAGAAGGGTTAGGTTTATCAATATTAGTCATCACACAACATGGCTGTTATTGTGTACAACGTTCTCTTGGTTCTGCTCACTTCACTCAGCATCAGACCATACAAGTCTTTCCAGTGTTGTTGTTTTTAAAAGAGAGAGAAGAAAATCAAATTACTGGTATCAAAAATGAAAAGGGTGAAAATACCACTAATGAAGATGAAATTAAAGCAGTTATAAGGAATTGTTTTGCCCAATCATATGCCAATAAATTTAAGAATTTAAGTGAAATGGAAAAAAACATACAAAAACATAAACTCCTTAGATTAGCAGTAGAATATCTAAATAAGCCTATTTTAGAAAAAGGAATTGAAAAGGCCATAAATGAGCTTCCAAAATAAAAAAAAAAAAGCATCAGGACCGGATGCATGTGCAAGTGAATTCTAACAGACATCTAAAGATCAACTAATTCCAATGTTAAATAAATTATTTAAAATGACAGGCAAAGAAGGAGTCCTGCCAAACAAACTCCTTTTATGAAACAAATATGGGTTTTTTTGTTTTGTTTTTTGCTAGGCAATAAAGTTAAGTGACTTGCCCAGGGTCACACAGCTAGTATGTGGCAAGTGTCTGAGGCTGGATTTGAGCTCATGTCCTTCTGACTCCAAGGCCAGAGCTATATTTACTTTGCCACTTATCTGCCCCAATAAATATAGTTTTAATACCTAAACCAGAAAGAGTAAAAATAAAGAAAGAAAATTATAGACCAATTTCACTAATGAATATTGATACAAAGATGCTAAATAATATACTAGCTAAGAGACTACAATAATGTATCATAAAGATTGTACATTCTGACCAAGTGGGATTTATACCAGAAATGCAGGGATGGTTTAATATAAGGAAAACTATTAATATAATTGATTATATGAATAACGAAGTAACAAAAATTTTATATCAATAGATGCAGGAAAATCTTGATAAAATACAACACTTATTCCTATTAGAAACGCTTGAAAGCATAGGAATAAATAGATTTTTTTCTTAAAGCAATAAGAAGCATCTATCAAAAACCACCAGCAAGCATTATTTGTAATGGAGATAAGCTAGAAGCCTTCCCAATAAAATCAAGAGAGAAACAAGGATGCTCATTATCACAATATTATTCAATATTATATTAGAAATGCTAGCAATAGCAATGAGAAGAAAAAGAAATTGAAGGAATCAGAATGGGCAATGAGGTAAGAAAACTATCTCTTTTTACAGATGATATGATGATATACCTGGAGATTCAACTAAAAGTTAGTTGGAAAAATTAATAACTTTAGCCGAATAGCAGGATATAAAATAAATCCACATAAATCATCAGCATTTCTATACATCACCAACAAAACCATCCTGCAAGAAGTGATAGTAAATCACTCTTTGCAGATATGATGATATATTTAGAGAATCCTAGAGAATCAAGTAAAAAGTCTACTTCAAATAATAAACAACTTTAGCAAAGTTGCAGGCTATAAAATAAATCCACATAAATCATAGGCATTTCTATATGTTACCAACAAAGCCCAA